GTGTGTGTGTGTGTGTGTGTGTGTGTGTGTATCTTGTACAGCTGTCTTTGTGAGGACCAGTTTGAGCCTACAACCCACAGAGTGAGGACACTTTGGGTAAGTAAGGACATTTTGGCCAGTCCTCACTTTGTGACCCCCCCCTTTAATGGTCTGTTTGGGGGTTGGTTTTAGGGTTAGGGTTAGAATTAGGTTTAGGTTAGGTTAAGGGTTAGGCATTGAGTTTGGATGGCCAGGGTAAGAGTCTAGGAAATGCATTATACCAATGAGTGTCCTCACTAAGATATAAGTACAAACGTACGTTTGTGTGTGTGTCCATGTGTGTATTTTGGCTCCTCTGTGTGAAAGCAGTGTCGTATTGGCCCTCTAACCCGCAACATCCACCGAGGAATCTGACAGACACCTGGGAAAACAACACGGCTTTGTCAATATGAGACGGAGAGGCAGACAGGAGGTCACAGTAGCATGGACGACTACGAGTTAGCTGTCCATAAATCCACATGAAAGATGCCACTACCATGATTATCGACTCTTCAGCAAACCCTCCGAGGATGACACGTCTTAACTAGAGACTACAGTGCTGTTAACGTCTACTTTTTGCCCCCTGTCCTCTGCTCATCAGTGCTCGCGCACACATACACTGATCCAAACAATGCATAAGGCCCTCCCATGAGAGGGAGCAGTGAGAAGAAACGATGCTGAGTTTCGAAGACGAGCGGGAGGAAATGGTGGACAAGAGAACGCACGAAGAGTAAATTCTCCCATAGTACTTGTTAGGGAATGAAATGCACAGATGCTCTGAGCCTTCAACTCAAGGAAGTGAGTCAGCAGAGAGCTACAAGAGAAACATTATGGGAGGAATAAAGCTGCGACAAGGCTCAGCAGCTCAAAGCACTGCAGCTCTCACAGACTGAGAAAGGATGGTTTACAGCTGAGCTCATGACAGAGGTTGAGGCCACTGCTCTCAACAAGATGGACACTTTTCATATGACTTACAACAAAAAAGCACTTGGCAGAGACTTTAAAAGGTCCAGTTAAATTGAACATCCAGGTTTTTACATAATGCTGACAGAGAAATACGATGACTTGAATGGTCTGCAGAGGAAGGCTCAAAACAGAGGGAATAACTGAAATGAATTTCTTTACTTTGATTAGAGATTACATGAGTCATCAGGACGTGACATATTCCCTCAGGACCCAACAAACATGAAACAGCAGATGGTGTGGTGGTACCTGCAGTCACATTTGCCTCACACAAACATACACAAATCAGAAACATCATCAAAGGCAAGTTATATTATTTCAGACGAAGATAAGTTGATAATCTTCTTACTCTACAAACCGAGAGCTATCCACAGGATTTTGTAGTCACTCAAGTTTGTCTTTATATGGTGTGTATTTGCCTAACACTACAATTTCACAATGAAGCTGAAATAATTTGCTGCTCAATTTGTTGCTATGGTGACAATTAACAGTTTTAGTCATTATTCCCAATAAAAATGACAAACTGTCAGTTTCCCATTAAAATGCTGATTTGCTGCTTTATCTCTTGGCTTTTCACTGTCATGTCTATCACCTTAGTCTCCAGGACATTGTGAGTGACTTTAGCATTATCCCACATATTTATTAATTTGACATCTATTGTACTTCTGTCTGTAATGGGAGAGGAATCAATCATTTGAAAGTCTTTTACCTCTTTTACAGACTGTTAAGCCCTATGAGGCAAACTGAGATTTGCGGGCTATACAAAAAAAGTATTAATCAATTGATTTAGAAGATCATCTGCAAATGAACTGACAATGAAAATAACTATACAATATGTCAATATTAATTTCAGTAGCAGCCCTATTTTACATCTGAAAGATTAGAGGTATATGGACATTTAGATGGCATACTCATTGGCTGAGAGGAACATCATACAAACATCAACCCTGAATTAAGTGAACCCCTTAAATCTTAGTCAGTCTCACTTAGTCAGCTTGTTTATAGATCGCAGTGGAATAAAAACTAAAGCTTTTCTCTACAGATACATATAGAGAGGCTAAGCTGTGATACTGGAAGACCACCAAGCTCCATTTGTCTATATGTCTGTTCAAACTGCTCCCCACATTATATTTATTATCTACAGTCAGAGCAAAAGGAGCAAATGAAAATGAATAAAGAAAACAGAGAACATGAAGTAAGTAAGTAAGTAAGTAGCTAAAATAAGTAGCTAAAGTGGCTCCTGTCTGAACTCTAGTGAAGGAATCAAGGACACAGAGAAACAGAGATAATGACCGCTACAGAGTTTGTATTAACTCATCGAACAAACAAACAGAGGACACAGCTTGAAACAGGACGCAGCTGATCAAGCTTACTAACCACCCATGAGGGCTCTCCCTCTCCCAGAGGGATTTACTAGCGGCTGGAGTGATTGTTATTCTTTTCCAGCAATGTCTGAGTTCGGCTTATGGACATGCACATGCATGGACACTAGGTCACACTAGACGGAAACATGTCATGAGCAGAGAGGACTGTAAAAAAGATTCATATGAAAACAAACTGATGTTAACTTTACTACTATACACCACTTTTGTGTGTGTGTGTGTGTGCATTTGTGTACCTGTCTCCTCTGGGGAGTTGCTCTCCTGGGACAGGGTGGTCCAACTCAACTCCTCGTCACTGGGGTTCAGATTCTGGATCCGGTTCAAAGCACAGTCTGTCTTTGCGCCAGTCCTTCTGTCCTTCTTCGTCTCTGGAGAGGAAGAGGAAGAGGAGGAGCAGGAAGCCACAGAGAGCAAGAGGGTGTCCTCTGGGCTGGATTGCCGTGGCAGGGAGGGAGGAGGAGGCACTGGAGAGTCCTTGCCTGATTTGAGGAGCTTGATGTTGGAGTGGAGGTCAGAGATGAGTTCCAGGCCTGCGGAAACTTTTTGATTGTTCACGGGAGACTCACTTCTTATCATCAGTAAAGGCTTCTTCTCCACCTCTTCCTCCTCCTCCTCCTCCCCCACATTCTCATCTCCATCTTCCTCAATCTTCATTTTTGACATTATTTCCTTTTCAGACAAAATACTGATGTCATCGCTCTCCTCTGCCTCAATGTTCAAGTCCAGATCTGTTGTGTTGCCGTTCAGGTTGAGCGCCACAGTTGTGTTAATGTTACAGTCTACATCTAATTCTGTTTTCTGCTCGGGCTCTGCATCACAGTTGGCGTCTGGTTGCAGTTCGGCATCTAAATTAATGACGTCGTCCTCCCCGTCATTATTGGAGAGGATGTGACTGTCATGCTCCTCTGCTGTGTTAACGTTGAGGTCGTCTTCTACAGTCTCTGAATTACACTCCAGATCTATCAGGTCAGGACCCGTTGTGTTTTTGTTGTGGTCCTGACCTGCTTTACGAAGCTGGTTGACCCCATTCTTGGCTAGTTTGGGATTGGTCGGGGTTGAGGACTGCGATGGGGATGATGACGGGGAAGGCGTAGTTGGCGCCGCTTCTCCGAGGCCCATGGCAGACTGGATACTGGTGAGTGCGTACTTTTTGCGACACTTGGGAGGAGTGGCGGAGCCCTGTTTGATGACATCGCTGCTGAGGAGCTGATTGTGTGAGGAGCGAAGGCTGAGGGAAGTGGGAGGCGTGGCAGCGGGCCCATTACGATTGGTCACATCTACTGACATCATCGTGGCACAAGACAGATCACCTGAAAGAGGAAGAGAACAGAGACCGGACTGAATCAATTTCAATCGACATGTGTTAACATGCACCCAGTGCACTGTAGGAGCTTTTAGAGGGGTTGTCCCAGTGCTTCTATAATACTGCTATAACTTTTCTTGCATGGTAACATGTAAGTAGAAAATACCTAAGGAAAGAAATATATCCAAACATGCTAAATATAATGTATAATGTCGAATAATAACTTCTATTAACTTAATTACTAAAAATACTATTAGAAGATAAGCAATGATCAGCATCTCATACACAACCCTATATCAGACAAATCAAGTCTGCATAAAAAAATCTTTGAATGATAAATCTGGTGATGTAAATCTGATTATCTGTATTTTCCTCTCATTGACAAATAATGAAATACCAAAAACAACAACTAACTAACTATCTTCCATATTTAGAACAAGAGTGCATATCTCTGCCAAGGCCACATTTATACATTCACTAGATCAAGGTTTTCTGCTCACACTCATAAGTATCATTTCATGAATTATTCTCTGAGAAATAAATGAAAATGTTGAAAAATGCCCGAATTCACAATGATAAAGAAAGTGAAAAAGATTCCTGGATCCATCCCCCCCATTCCGTTGAGTTTTGCATAATCTTTTTAACTAAAAAACAAAGAAACAAACAGTTTCACATAGTGAGAAATTCCTGTGTCACAGTAAACATGTACTTTGTCTGTTCTGAAATCTGTGTCTGAAATAGCCGCCAACAAATGTACAATTTACTCTGCTTTGACTTATATTCGCTAAAGACTACACTGTTTGGCTGTTTTAAGAAAGCCGCAGCCAGTCTATTGTGTGTATCGTATGAGAGAAGGGCCAACACACAGCTGGTTATATAACAGATATATAGAATATTTCCAGACTTATCATTTAAATTCTTGAGGGATATTACTTTGGACTGCAGACTTTCAAACTACCAGCTACAAGGACAGGGAATGAAGACGTATGAGTATATACAGGCTGACTAAACAGAGTAAATGCACAGCATGTGTGAAGGTGTGTGTGTGTGAGACTGAGTGAGTATTCTGTACCTGACAGGAGTTCAGTCATTGACTGGAGCTTGTTCAGGGTTTAGTAGAGTCAGCTGCAGATCTGAACACGACCAAAAAGAAGAGAAAAACGTAAAAGAATGATCAGAAGAAGAATGCAAAAAATCCTGAGTGCTTGTCGGGTTGCCCTCGGAGACCACATTCATCTGTGTGGAACCCAACTACAGCTGGTCTCTATGGTGACAACAAAATAGTGTGAGGCAGCAAGGGAACTCAAAACACCATCAAAATAAAAAAATAAAGACCAGACACTCAAAACACGGAGGAAGAACAGTTAAATTCACATGTTTTAAAAATTAAAGAAGAAAACTATGAATAATACATGATGTTGCTGTATCAAGATGACTGAATTTTAAAACACACACCAATGCTATCATTAAATCCTGCACTTCTACCTACAAATACACCTTTAAAATAAAATCAGTTTTATCTCTCCCTGACCTAGAAAAGCTCATTCACGCCTTTGTCTTTTCCCATCTGGACTATTGCAATGCACTTTATACATGCATTAGTCAAACCTCAGTAGCTCATTTGCAGCTTGTTCATAATGCTGCTGCTCGTATTTTAACTAAGACAGAATGTAGGTCTCATATCACGCAAATCCTTGCATCTCTTCACTGGCTGCCAGTTAATTTCAAGATTAATTTAAAAATTCATTTTAATAAGCCTGTCCTTGTTAGCTGTACATAGATCAAGGGTGGCTACTCCAGGTGACCGGGCCCTGAGGCTCTCCACACACTACCTGTCTTTAAATTACTTGTAATACATTACATGTAATTCCTTTCATGCCTTTTTATCCTACTTTTATTGAAAAACATATTTGATATAGTTTCAAATGGGACAACATTTCTGTGTGGTTTTTTTTAAATGTTGGGGTAAAATGTTATATTTAATAATATATAATAAAACTATTGATTGAAATAAACACATTCAGGCTTCCAGACTACTACTTTAATCTGTAAAGAGTTTGACTTTAAATGTAGCAAATTAAGAAATTTTCTGTAAAAATACTGAGGCAAAGTGAAATAAGTACACATAAATACATAATTTTATAATAAAACATTTATCAAATATATTAGATATACAAAATAGTTTGAGTAAAAGCAGCTTGTTACTTCAACCCTGCTTTTAATTTAATTTGGTCCACCCTAGATTTATTTGTCAGTAAAACGTTTATTGTCTGCTTCAAAGTAAAAGGTAATATTGGTTATATAGAGGTAGTATATGGTTCTAAAAGCATTTTCAGAATGTGTTATTGGGTTATGTTCACTGGAGTTTGTCCTAGTGTGCCCTTCAATGGCTTAGGTTGTTTTTAACCAAAGCAAAAAGATACTCTTAATTTATTTGAATATCATATATGTATCATATCAGCCCCTATAGTAAAAAAATACATACTTGTATATTGACCTTTTAAAGTTGCTATACTTACCAGAGAGCTAAGGATTGTGGGAAACAGGATGGAGTGCATCCATACTGGTGCTCTCATCCAATCAGGAGGGCCGTACTGAAGCAGCAGCGTCCTGAGGGAAAGACAAACATTAAAGTAGGATTAATGAGATGGAGAACGAGGGAGGGGTGAACCGAGAGAGAAAAAGGACAGCAGGACACCAGAGGGACAAATAATAAAGACGCATCAATTATTCACAACCTTGATCAAACATTAATACACAAGGTGCGCGTGTGTTTTGTGTGTGTGAGAGGGAGTAAGAACATAAGGCTCATTTTGTATAGAGCTCATATTTCTTTCTTTGGTGCAGTCTTGCCAACCCTTCGCTGACTGGAACCATCATAAACTTAATGCCACAGGAGACTTGTAAACTCCCCCTGCTCTGCTTTCCAACACACACACACACACACACACACACACACACACACACACACACACACGCACACGCACGCGCACACGCATACACACACGCACATTGCTGCATAATGCAGTCAAGACTCATGGACAGTTCTCACCAACACACAGCCTCTAGGAGAAGTGCAGAGAAATATAATAAGCAAAGTAAGAATGGACCAAAATAAATCCCATTTATCCTCGGATGTGGGGCTGGAAAACACCTGGAATTATTATTTTGGATGGAAAATTGAAGGGAACTAACGAAAATGGATCATTTGTTCAACTAACAGCCAACAGTGGCATTTGTAATGATATAAATGTGTTATCCATCATATTATAAGGTTAAATAATCTCAAATTTCACATGCAAAGATAAAGCCAAGCAGTGTCATAAATAGTTCATCATGAACAGTGTGACTGTTAACCGAGAAGAATTTTGACCAGTTTATCGGTTATTAAAAAAAGACTCTTGGACATTGGTACCATCTGACCCCACAGCATGTTAACATGGTGAATTATTGTAATTCCCCACTCAGCAAACAAAGCTAAAGAGGAAAGTTATGCCTAAGTCTGCCTGCCTAAGACGCTTAAAACTACCGTTTCAACGGTCCACCGTCTGTGTGTGTGTGAGTGAGTGAGAAAGAGAGTGTGTGATGAGTTCATTTTCATTTTCTACTGTTTATGCTGCTGTTTGAACATTTAAAAACAAACCAAAAATGTTGCATACAGACAGAATTCACAGCAGATTTTGCACAAGTCCCCCAATCCCAACAACTGAACAACTGAATCACTATTAATTTCTTTGGCAAGACTCTTCTTCCCCTATTTGTCCTGTAATGACTCAATCTTAACCGTGGATATATTTCAACCTGTTTTCAATTGTCAACAACAATGAGCAGACTGATCCAAACACTCATAACAACTGACATCTGCAGGTTTCAGGGGCGTCTTGTACATATGTACTTGCACACATGCAAACAGCTGTGTTTGGCAAACATTTTTTCCACATTATTCTGATAATACGTAAAAGCCACAGAGCTGCAGCAGTTGTGATGTGTTTTGTGATTTATGGTATCTGATGAATGGAAACGGAAGGAGAGGAATGTGGATGCAGCCATGGACTGAGAAAGGAGTTCAGTGCACAGTTATCTTCTACAGAAAGAGATTTATTTTAGTACTTGATCTATCAAGTTTACTGCACTACTCTGTACTTTTATATCTCTGACTGGAGACGAGTTAGCGATTTGCAGTTTTTCCCCATCAATAAATAAGACTATTGTTGCTGTGTGATTAGACTAGATCTATTTTTGCAGTTTTTAGCCCGATGCAATTAATATAAGTGGCACTGAGTCTGCATTCCTCTGACCCTGACTCATATAGTCACTGCTTGCTTTCCCTGATTAAACACACGTGCAGTGTAAATAATCATTCCAGCTAACGAGACTGACCCAAACTCAAATATAATTTTGAAACTTTTGTCTGAACTCGACCACACTCTATTACAGCAAATTATCATCATTTTAATATAATATCTTATATAACATAAGCCCACTGGCAATACAAGCCATTTTAAATTGACAGTTTCAAATCGGGAAGCTCCTGGATTAATGGTAACATCAGGCCATGAGTCATGTATACAGATGTGGCCATTTAGAACAAAGATTCAAAAGAAGAAAAGAAACACCAAGATGCAAAATGTTTTTCTTCCCAACTCCCAAAAATGTAAAATGATAGAATACATAATCATTCAAGATTAACAATATGTAAATACTGTAAACACTGAATCACTTGACTATTACTGGACCATAAACATCCAAAGGAACAGTCAACAAAGGGAACCTGTGTTGAGCTGATTGTGTACGGTCATAACAGCAGAGCGACAACACCTGGTTTGTCTGAAAACACAAGATGCTAAACAGGCTGTGGTAAAAGAATAAACCATCTGAAGTGCAGCTGTATAATTTTAACCTCAGAGCAGCTGTACTTTACCTTAACAGCAAAAAAAACAGTAAAAACTTACACAGCAGAGGACAAAGAAAGCCAAAGAAGGATGTTGCATACAGTGAATAATAAAAAAAATTGTATTCTGGGTATAAATTACATGGAATGCTTAGGTCCCTAAATCCTGCTGCAACAAGCCTTCATACCAGTGTGTGTGTGTGTGTGTGTGTGTGTGTGTGTGTGTGTGTGTGT